ACACACACACACACACACACACCATTAATATATATATATATAAAATATATATATATATAAGTCAGGAGATGTATTCAACTGTATGCTTTTGGTAAGTCATGACTTGATAACAGATTCATAATCGCTCCATGTAAACAGAAAACTGCGATTGCTCGCAGAACAATAATTACACTGATACAATGTTCTATTTGATGGGGTACATGTCTTCGAAAACATCTGCCGCGGTTGTAATATTGGTCTGGTAATGATTATTGATTTTCATAGGGATTGCTTCTGGTTTCAAAATTATTATGTTATGATGGACTGATATCAACTATGAGATGCATATTCCGTAATTTGTGCGTTTGTGGTACGACAAGTAGTAATATTTTTAAAATAGTAAAGTACATAAATACTGCGGAGGCAGCAGCCAGCAGGCCAACTGGCTGGAGCCATTTAGCCAATCCACATATTATTCGGTGCGATAAAACCTCTACAGAGTAGAGTAACTTATTAACAAGTTTTTAAATGTTTTAGTTTAAAAAAATATAAAAAGTGATTGTGTAACATCGGAGAATGAGGCCAGCCGCTGCTGAATACTGATTTAACTGGCTGTACTATTTAAAATTTACTTTTGCGGCCGTGACTTGTTCGAGTATATACGCTGCGTACTTCCTACAGCCCCTAATAACAACAATACAACGTTCTTCTGCGTGCGACTCCGATTGAGGGATAGCCGAAATGTAAGCTATGTTAGTTTCTTTTCTCTTCCATTATGTGTTTAATACGCTGTGATGTTCTAGAGCACTGGTAGCAGTTCTAGTACACTGGTAGCACGGCGTACATGCTATCAGTGGTCGTGTATCCTGTGTACTGTCAAAGAAAATTTAAATTCACGGGTTATCTGCCAGCATATGTAAAAATCGTTACTAAAAAAGGATAACACGCATAGTTCGTAGTAACCATGATACAAACGTAAAATGTAAAAACGAATTTAGAAGAGCCGTTATTATATGACTAGGGACTGTTCCTACACGAGTCTGTTTCATATGTCTGCCTCGATAGGTACGCTTCGCTTGTTCTATACACAACGCTTGTTTATTGGCTTATATCATGATACTCTATATAACATTTTCTATCAATTGTGCACATTAGATCATATATTAGACTGAAAGATATGATTCGTCACACAATGTATGCTTGTTGGCTTAGTTCATACCGCTCAATATATCATCCACACGAGAACCTCGAATATCAGGTTTGTTGTTGTGGTCTGTTTAGATTACTTCCGTCTATCTTCTGATAGAAAAGTTCGCGTTCACCTGACAATGGGAAATATGCTCACGTTTGTGATTTATATACAACTGTTTCAAATTGTACATCAAACACCTTTTTAAGTCCGGCAATGTTCATGACAACCTTACTCTGTGGGTTTGTATATACACTCCGCTTTGATGTTCATTGTTTTTTAAATACTCTAACATGTGTCAAGTAACATCTTATACACTCAGTTGCCCAGTAGCCCATATATATGAATCAATGCGCAAAAGTGCACACTCATACACAATTATCTCGCCAAATAATTACACTAGACAAATACACGCGTTAGTAAATATGCACACGAACCAAAATATATCAAATACAAGACTTCGAATAGCTGTGCTTTCAACCAAATATTCATATACAAAATACAATGTACTCTAAGATATACATTGTACTGCATACTTATTTGTTTTTGCATGCATATTACATACAGGTGCATAATTATATGCATTTAGTTATACATACAGATTTAAATACATATATATATTTAAATATTAATATAT